ATAGAGTAGAGATTTGAGAGATTTTAAGTTTGTAAGAGAGAGATAGAGAAAAAAGATAGAAAGAAAGACAAGAAAAAAAAAATAAATTAGAAAAAAGAGAAAGATAATAAAGAAAATAAGAGTAAAACAGAAGAGAAGATGATCTGTGAGATTTAATTTAAAGATATATATCAGCATATTAAATAGATATTCTGGGAGAAGATTGTTTCTTTTAGTCAATTATTGAATTTTAGAGTTTCATATAAGATTGTTAGCGTCTCATAAAGATTGTAGATAGACTGATGTCACTTTATTATTTTACATACAAAAGTATAATAGTAAAAATATTCTAAGATTTTACTATATCTGCACTGACAATAGTACTTTATATCTTTATATTTAAAATAACTGTAATAGACTGCAAAGTCTTCATGATTTTATTAAATAGTATAGAGTTTTTTTAATATGAAATATGAAAGTTTTATCTTTACTAAGACTCTTTTCAGTGAGATCTCCAGCTTTATATAGTATTTAAGTAGGTTTTTAACCTAGTAGTTCTCAAAAATTTATGTGATTTGTTTTATATTATGTTACTTTATATAAGCTAGTGTGTCTATACTATTGAGTTTAGATACTGTGTTTGTACTTATTATCTGTACTGCAGCTGCTTTGACTTTAAGATTTATTTTTTTCATTATCAGTCATGTCTATATGATCTGAGACTTATTTATTGATCATTTTGCTCTAAATGATTAAAGAAAGCCTATCTCTGCTCTATTAGATCTTTATAACTTTCAAAAACTGTATAAAGACTGACTGACTAGAGATGTTTAATATAAATTCAAAAGCTTATAATATCTTCAAATTGTCTAAACAAATGTAGACATTGCTGATGTATTTTATCTACTACAAATGAATGATTTTCTTTAGACTTCACAGAGCTGTCATTGTCTTTATGTTAAATATCTCTGCTTTATTCATTGATAGATTTTCTGTGAAGACTAGATGATGTTCACTATCTCAATATATAGTTTATTTTGCATTAGTTGTATGCTACAAATACATTATCTGTGAATCATCAGTAAAAATCATTAGATTTAGAGAATTGTATTATTGTAATCAGCTCTTAAAGTCATGTACTATTTGTTTTTTTATGCAGTCTATTTTATATTCAATTTATAGATCTTTTTTTCTGAGAATTCTTATTTAAAAAAGTATAAGTAGAGAGTTATGTGCTTCTATCATGCCAGCATGACTAAATACTCTAGACAAATATATGATATAGAGCTAAGTGATAGCTACTTTATTGAAGTATCTCACTAGCAAATGTCTCTTATTAAGCTTTTTAACTCTTACTGCAAAGACAGCATATTAGTTGTTTAGTATCTTTTTCATTGACATGATTTTTAGCTTGTGATGTAGAGCTGAAATAAATGTGATTCTGTAAACTGATAGTGTCTCTCGTAAGACATCTTTAAAAACTAGATCTTGCTTTTTGATTAGACAATTTATTTGATTAAAGATTTCTCTTCTCTTCTTTATTTATATAACTTCAGATCATCAGGTCTTTGCTTCATAGCAAAGCATAGAGAGCACACAGATCTGAATAAATTGTTTAAGTAGTTGTATTAAAACATCTCTTGCCATGTTACTTAGCACTCATATGCTATTAAATATTTATCATATCTTAGCTGTCATAGTCTTCATGTGTTTCTTGAAGCTCAGTTTTCTATCTAGTCAGATTTTTAGATATCTTATGAAGCTTTTCACTGCATTTGCTATAATAGGGTGAATATCAGATGTCATTTCAAAATCAATTAAGAGATTTGAAAGAATTCTGTGCTGTGTGAAGTGTGCTATCTCAGTTTTGACAAAATCAAATGTTAGCTCTTCTTTACTGACTCAATCATTTAGCAACTTGAAATTTTTCTAAAGAGTAACAACATTCTCTTCAAGAGTGATTTTAACACTAAGCAGTTCTAAATCATCTGCATAGTCTGAGTATGCATATCTTCTTTGTATAGTTTCTAGAAAGAATAGAGGCTGAATAAACAGCATAAATAGAATAGATGAAACTGGCAAGCCTTGTGAAAGATCTGCTGAGATATTAAAAAGCTCTCTCAGAAGTTCATTCATTCTGATTCTGTCTGTATATTCTGTCATAAAGCTTTTCACTTATCTAATTAATTTTAATGATCAATTTTGTTCTTGTAGTCTCTGTAGGATTCTTTCTCTGAGTATAGCATCAAAAGCATTTTTGATATTCAGAGTAAGAAGAGAGACTACTTTTCCATAAGCTCAGACTTCCTCTATATCATGAATCATCACTGTCACTAGATCTGAGGCAGTTTACTCAGAGAGGGCTTCAAAGTACTGAAGAACAGTCTTTTCATCAATATCTTATTATGTGGCCATGTCTTTTGTAGCACCTCTGTTGGTACTTTATTAATTTCTGAAGTAGTATTACTCATATTCAGCAGAGAGTTTTGTATCTCATGTGCTGAGACAACAGGAAATGATAATTTGATAGATGATGAATTGAATCAGCTAACTGAGATATTCTCTCTGCTTGCAGTGTTCTGTAAGAGTATTTGTTGCAGAAGATTTCTTTTCTCTCTAGAGATTGTTCACACTAGCCCAGTCTCTTCATCTATGAAAGGGGGAGAATGAAAGAAGTCAGTTGAATGAGCTTATTTGATTATCTTAAAAATATCTTTTCTCACTGAGGTCTCTGCTATCTTGTCTTATTAGTATTCTCTTTTGACTTTTCTAATAATCCTGGCTATGTTGTCTTTTACTTCATATAAAAATCTAGAGCTTAGATACTATACTTGATATAGTGTTGTCATCACTTTGTGACAGTTTTTTTTTCATCATGACTGGTCTATATCTTGTCTGATACTCTTCTTGAAGCTTTTCAGAGAAGCTACTAGTGCATCTGTAATATCTTGAGTCAGAGCATCTAGCTAATCTGTATTAGAGTACTCTGAAATATCACATAGTTTGTCTAGTTTTGACTTATAGACCTTCAGCATCTGGTTAAAGACCTTCTTATTCATGATGTCAAGATGGAAAAGATGAAGTGATCTGTCAGGCCTTGCACCTCATGAAAGGCTGATATTGATGAAAAGAGTCTAGTGATCAGAGAAAGTGTAAAGAGATCTGTCTATCTGTGTGTTCACTTCTTTGATAACTAATTCTGAGATGATCCAGGCCAGGTCTAGTATGTTATGCCTACATGTAAGAGTGTCTGAGTTCATAGTAAGAGTAAAGTTAAAATTCATAATTTATTGCAGAAATAATTCTACTCATATGCTTGAAGACATTTCTGATTGCCATACAGAGTACTTGATATTGAGATTATCAGCAAGAAGCAAAGAGAGTGCTAGAATGAATCAGAAGAGAAGACAGCTGACATCTTGTTCAGAATTCTCTGCATCTGAAGATGTATTGTATATATTAATTATCTGAAGCTGTAGATTTCAAATATATATGTGCAGCATATAAATGTTTCAGTTTTCTGCCTAGAGGCCAGAGACTGCATGAGCATAGATTTGTGTGTATTTATGCATATAAATGAAAACCTGTGACTTTCTGTTTCACTTTTTAATTGAGATAAAGCAGTTGAATGCTAAGTGCTTTTTAGAGATTTATCAGCTTAAATTCTTATAAATTCAGAGTTTCTATATAAGAAGAATATCAGTCTTTCTTTTGAACACTAAATTGAGAGCTGTCTCATATGCTAAGCTCTTTTTTTCTATATTGACTTCATAATCTGCAGATATCACAGAGATCTAAAGTTTTTCTTCATTGAGTGGCTGAAAGAAGAGTGTTGTTGTATGAGATATCATATTGAATGTTGCATTAGATATTGAATTGAACATCATGTCTAATGCTATATCTGATGCTGTGCTCAATGCTGTGCTTGATGCTGTGTTTGATGTTGATGTGAAATTAGATCTACACTCAGTAAAGTCATTCAATCTCAGATCTGCTGATGAATCTTAATCATCACATTTACTATTACTTGTTGTGATCAAGTATGTCTTACTCTATGCATTGCAGATATTTCTCAGCTGATTTCTTAAGTATTTTTGAACAATTTCATTCTTTATTTCTGATCTGACAGAGCAGGATAAATTATTCACAGTATGTAATTCAAGACAGTTAGTGCAGCAATTGAGGTATTCACATACTTTATTCTTCTTATAACAGAATGAATTTTCTTTTACATGATTCTTAAAACTGTATTTTTTTGCAGTGAGAGATGTGAAAATAGTATTTTTTTAATAAAATTCTCATCATCTGCTGTATTATTGTATTTTAATTTTAGATATCTTTCTGATCACTGATCTTTAATATTCATATAGTTTCACTTTTGATGATAGATTTACTACTGTCTTTTATGAAAAGTATAATATAAAAGTAACTATTGAGTTTTCAAAGTGTATTTTTACTCAGTGACTCTGAATAGACTTAATTCTGATTTAAAGTATGAATTATTCTGTTATGAATTCTGCTGAGAGATGAAGAGTTTCATTATTATAATCATTAATCTTCATAAGTAGTTTAGAAATCAGATAAATGATTCAATGTTCTTTCTTCTCTATTTAAGCATTGATGAGAGCAGCTGCTATAACATATTTTTTGACTAGCAGAGTCTTCATGTCTTACAAACTTCTAGAAATGATGATAATGTCAGTGAAGATGACTTGAACTACTATGATGACTGCTGTCAAAGACCTCAGAAGCTCAGTCTTCAGCTTTCTAAAAGTAGTGATTGAGCTTGCTTTGCAAGCTAGATGATCTGAAGACAGATGTGTGAGAATTCACAGTGTTTTTTCTTCTCTGAGATTATTTCTAAGCAGAGATTTCTACAGTATGATTGTTGATGTTCTTACTACATTAGTGCTGTTTGCAGCTGTCTTTATGTAGATAGAAGCTCTTGCATCATTTGCATCAGTGAGATTAGTAGATTTGATTGTAATGAACTGCTTAACTGTTTCTAGACTTTTATTGTATCAGTTCTTGATTAACATCTTCATAACAGCTTTAATGATCAGTGCTTTTGATAAATTTTTTGTCTTCATATCATCTAAGTCTTCTTCAATCTGATCAAACATATTTGCAGCAGCTAGTGCTTTTGCATGAGATTTCTGTACCTCAGCCTTGTGAGCAGCTAGAAGATTACTAGTCATTAGACTATGTAGATTGAGATGTATTGATGCAACATTTATACTCTTTGAGCTATCTGCTGGTGTAGAAGAGCTTGAAGACTTCATGTCATTCAGTTCACATGTGCAGTAGACAATTGAGACAGAGAGATGAAATCTCTTGAGTGATTAGTATATGAAAGAGCAGATGCATGTTAAGACTCAGAACATATTCAGTGTTGTTGAAGAGCTAGATGCACTGGCAATGCTGCATCAGCACACCATCAGACTTGCTACCTGAGAAGATGGAAGAGAGCTTATAGAGATGTAATCAAGATTGATTAAGATGTTTTTGTAGTTTTTTTGTTAAGACAGAGTTTCAATTAAGACATTTTCATGAATATATCAAAGTGTGTAATACCGCGATGGTCACATGGTCACATGATGAGAATTAGGCCTAATTGGGCCCATATGATCACTTGGTCACGTAATGAGGGTTAGGCCTAATCGGGCGCTTGAGCTTAATCCGACGTCGAGTCTAACCGGGCGCCGGGCCTTGGTCGGGCTCGGTCGGGCGCTAAGCCTAACATGATGTAACTGAACTAAATGTTAAAAGAAAGTGTGTAAAGCATTATAGCTAATATTATAATAAAGTAGAAATATAAATGCTATAAGTACTATGAAGAGAAGAGAATAATAATGAATGAAAATATAAATATAGAAATGAATAGTAGTTAATCACTAAATCTTTTAAAAAAATTTATAAATTTAATATATTTATATATATATATTTATAAGTAGTAACTGTAAAGAATTAAGCTCTAAGAACTAGAGACTAGTCCTTCTATATAACAAGAATGAATTGCTTGAGAAAGAGAAGAAAAGAATGAGATGAGAACTCAAGCTTAAGCAAGCTCATGTAGCATGATCATGTGCACACATGCAAATGATGACTAGGCTGAGTCAGCCAGTCAGAGTGAATCTAGGGGTTCAATCTCTTATAATACCTCTCTTCTCTCTGTTTGTTGCAGGCCTTTATGACTATTTAAAGCCCTCTTTACATCTAATTTTGCCTGCTGAGAGGCCTCTCAAGCATTCAAGGCCTTCACTTCTTGTAGGAGACTCACATCATTTCATGTAGACTTAGCCCAATCTATTCATTTAACAAGATATTGCTTTTTCCTCTGGTAGGTTCATTTGCCTCAAATTTTCTTAATCTCAAACTCAGATCCTTCTGAGGTCTCTATAGTGAGTGGCTGTCAGTCAGTTTGCCTCTGACTAGACAGGGAATCTGTCACTGCAACATGTAGAAGCTTTACATTAAAGACATTGTGAATGCTGAGTGAGATGTTCAGTCAGTAAGTGTGAAATTCTATCTTTTCTAGCACAGTATATTGATTGTATTTCATGTCCAGCTTCTTGCACAGATGATTAGTTCTCATGTTCTCTAAGATCAACCAGATCTTATCTTCAGATTGAAAGCTTGAAGCTGAGTCTCTTCATCTATTTATGTATTTCTCTTAAGATTGCTGAGCATCTGTCATTTTTACTTGAGCCCACTCCAACACTTCATAGACCTTTCTCATGTAATCATCTGCAAACTCAATGGGATTATGTGGTGTTTCAATGGGGGGTGCATCAGCTATATCAATGAAGAAGATGTGGAAAAGATGTGTTAAAAAGAACAGACTTATATCTGTTGAGGCAGCATCTCTATTATTGATGGCCAGCTCTGCTAGAGGAAGTCATTCACACCAGTCATTCTGTTGAAAGCTAATGTACTTGTGTAGGTAGATTTCCAGAGTCTGGTTCATTTGCTCTGTAGCTCCATCAGTCTCTGGATGATAGACTGTGAAGAGTCATCTCTTAATGCCTAATTTCTCACACATCTGAGTTCAAAACATGCTTGTGAAAGCTGACTCTTGATCTGACACTACCATCTTAGAGATGTCATGTCAAAGAATGATGTTGTGAAGAAACACTCTAGTCACTATCTTCACATCAGTTTTCTTAACTGCTTTTAATATAACCTTCTTGATCAGTCTGTCTGTTATAATCATGATGTTCATGTATTCTTTAGAGCTCAGTAAGTCCATGATAAAGTCCATGAAAAGCTCCTGCCACATGTGTTCAGAAATGAGAAGAGGCTTAAGCAGTCTCTGACATCAATCTCTCTATGCAGTGTTTGATCTGCAAAGATGGCAGTTCCTGGTCATTCTTCTCACATTGACAGCATAGCCTGGCCAGTAGAACTCACATCTTAGAACTCCTGCTGTTTTCTCTCACCCAGGATGACTGGTAAGAGATGAGTCATGAGCCTCATGCACTAACCTGGTTTGAAGAGGTTTGAAGTCTGGCACTCACTTACAATCTTGAAAGAGAAACTCTCTATTCTCATTTAAAGAGCACTCAGAGATGAAGGCCTTAATGCCAAGTTCAGAAGAAAATCTGAATCTTCTCTCATGAAGAGTTTGCTCCAGACACTGCAGAATCTTGTCATTTTTGTGAGCATCATTTCACTGAGCTTGAAGAGACATCTCAGATTCCACACTGGCAGCAGCCACTATTGGTTCCATTTCAGATGTCAGTACATTAAACTTAAGTAGTTGAGCTTGCCTCTGCTTGATTCTCTCATCATCAGTGCTCTGTGACATGTTCTGCTCTCTTCATAATAGAGCATCTGGTCCAGTGTTCAACTTCTCTGGCCAGTAATCAATTCTGAAGTTGAATTGATAGAGAATATCCATTCAATGTAGCTGTCTTTCATTTAGTCTGTGTGTAGTCATGAAGTATTCTAGATTCTTATGATCTATGAGGATCTTGAATTGCTTTACACTTCATAGCTCAGTGTCTCATTTCTTTAAACACTCAATTATCACTAATAACTTCTTATCATGAATCTCATAGTTGCATTCCGCAGGTGAATGCTTGCAAGAGAAGAAGGCACATGAGTGTAGAATGCTCTGCTCATCATATTGTAGCAGCACTTCATCTGAGACATAATCTGAGAAGTCCATTTCCAATATAGTCTCACAGTCAGAGTTGAATTGAAGCAGAATTGGAGTGGAGATATACATTGATTTTAGACACTTAAAAGCTTCCTCAGTCTTGCTCATCCACAAAAAAGAAACATTCTTGCATGTAAGAATCATCAGTGGGGTCATGATCTTTGAGAAATCTCTGATAAATCATCTATAGAAATTGGCAAAGTCTAAAAATCCTCATACATCTTTAAGAGTAGTAGGTGTTGCCCATTTCAAAACAGCTTTAACCTTCTCCAGATCTATTTGTATATCCTTGCCTGCTTCAATGATGAATTCAAGATATTTTGTGCTGTTCACCTCAAACTCACTCTTTCTGATGTCTGCCTGCAGGTCTGCTTTTTGTAGATGCATAAGCATCTTTTGTACATGCTCACAATACTTCTGTAAGCTTCTTGAGGAAAATATCAAGATGTCATCTAAATAGACTGAGCAGAAGTCATCCAGATATCCACATAATGCTCAGTTGATATATTTTTGAAACATGCTCAGAGCATTGACCAAATCAAAGAGTGTAATCAGCCACTCAAATAGCCTGTATCTGGTTCTAAAGACTGTCATCCACTCATCACCTTCTGTGATTTGAATCTTGTAAAAAGCTGCAATAATGTCCAGCTTAGTGAATCATTTAGCCTGTCCAATTCACTGTAGAGTCTCACTGATTAATGATAGAGGATATCAATTCTTTCAGATGATTTTGTTAAGAGCTTGATAGTTCATACAGAATCTTAGCCCATCCTCAGACTTCTTCATGAATAGTATGGAGGCAGCTGCAGGGGAGTTGCTCACTCTAATAAAACTCTTATCTAGATAATCTGTAAGAGTCTTTCACAAAGTCAGTAGTTCCTCTCAAGACATATTATATAGCAGACCTCAAGGGGGTTGTTCCATGCTATCATCAGCCTTTTTAATCAGTTCAATCCCATGATCTCTACCTGGGCCATGAAGTGGGGGTAGAGTGTCAGCAGCTTTCTTATCAAATACATTCAAAAACTCATGATAATGTTCAGGCAGCTTTTCTCTAGGGTCAATTTTTGATTTCACTTCTAGAGTCTTTTGAATGTTGGCCAAGCTGACAGTGAAGATCTTGATGTTTCACTTCTCTCAAGTGCTTGCAAGCCTAGAGAAGCTTACAGCAGAAATGAGAATCACATCAGCTTTTGCATTTGAACTAGGCTCTATCTCTATGCCACTCTCTTCAAATCTCACAATTCTTTGATGAGGGATCACAGTCACCTTTTGCTGGGCCAGCCAGGGGTCATCTAGATACATATCATGACCATGTAACTCATTCACCACATAGAGAAAGGTCTGTTCAGTTACATGACCATCTATATCAATTTGAATGCCAGTCACTATGCTTGTAGAGAGTCCCATGGAGTCTTCAAAGCTGGTCATTTTAACAGAGGAAATTTCAATGCACAGGAGCTTATGCTTGTTAATGTAGAATTAAGAAATAAGATCATAGACATTACATTCACTGTCTATCATTGCTCTAGTTGAAAAGGCATTATCTACTAAAGCATCAATAGTGAAGGGTTTGAATATCATCTTAGATTTAAATCCTCTTCATTGCTTCTTCATAAGCTTCTTATTTTGCTTCTTTCAGTGTCTTTTGATTGAAGCTACTCTTTTTCCTGAATTCTTACTCATATTCACATCATCATCATCAAGTACCAGCTCAGAGATCATCTTAGCTATTGTGAGAGTGGCAGGGCATCTGAGAGGTTTGAATGAGCAGCTCTTAATTATATGATCTCCAGCTCTGCATCTCAGACACAGGCCTTGCTCTCTTCTTCAATTAATCTCTGTCTGATTTATCAATTTGATGTGATGAGTGCTTGAGGTCACAGTATCAGAAGAGAGATTCATCAGATCATCAGCAGAAGCTTGAGACTGGTTTCATTGATTGAGAACAGCATGATGAAGTAGAGAGTGTGGATTAGATGTTGTATGATCTGAAGAAGATCTGCTCTTGCAATGTTTAGATCACTGTCTTAGAGTCTTAAGCTCAGAGAGTTGATAATCAACTAATCTAAGCTCCTTGCAGTAATTCTCATAGAGAGACAGTTCTCTTACACCCATCATGCCTTCTCTCAGCTCCATGCTTAGAGTGGATTTCAAATACTTCTTTTTAATGTGATCATCTCATCTGTGACCACCAGCTTCTAGCAGTAGCTGATTAAATTCAGACAGAAAGTTGAAGAGAGCTCTTCTACTCTGTTGTAGATTGTTGAGCTTTTGCATAGTCTTTTTCTGTCATGTGAGATCACTAAAGAGCATGTGTGTCTGCTTCAGTAAGCTCTCTACTGTGAAGTTGATCTTGTTCTTATTATTCTCAACTCAGAGATAAACTCAAGCTGCTGCCATTTCTTCCAGTCTCAAGTACATATATCAAGCACATTTCTCATTATTGTCTAAAGCTTTCCCATCAATCTTAAGCTTTGATTGAAGCTTTAGCTCTCACTGAGAGTAGTGCTTTAGATTAGAACCATCATACTTCTTGCAGTCCAGTAGCTTGATCTTTGATCTTCTGACTGCAATGAGTGATTGTGAGTTCAATTGAGAGAGAGTTGATGTCAGAGTGTTCAAAGCTTGTTGTAGATTAGCTATTTCAGCTTGCTGAGCTGCTATTAAATCCCTGTTCTCACACTGAACCTGTTCCTGCTGTTGAAGAAAAACCATTCATTGTTGTTCAAAGCTGCTAAGAGCATCTCTGCTCATTGCTTCACATTGATTCATTTGTGTATTTATTGTACAAATCTGTCACTTTATCTCATTTGACTAGATATTTTCAATGTTGCTCATTTGTTTGATAGCATGATTGCTAACCCAGTCTATTCATATACCAGTGCTATCACTGAACTTCATGATGCAGGATTTAAGACTCTCAATAGTCTATCATATGTCAGCACATTTGCTGAGCTTCATGATGCAGAATTAAGACTCCCAGTGGCCTATCAATAAAAGAAGTGAAGCAATTCATAATGTAAAGGATTAAGCTCTAAGAACTAGAGGCTAGTCCTCCTATATAACAAGAATGAATTGCTTGAGAAAGGGAAGAAAAGAATGAGATGAGAACTCAAGCTTAAGCAAGCTCACATAGCATGATCATGTGCACACATGCAAATGATGACTAGGCTGAGTCAGCCAGCCAGAGCAAATCTAAAGGTTCAACCTCTTATAGTAACAGATTTTATTTTTAATTTTTTATAAAATAAGTGAGATAGTGTTGATTTTAGTCTTTAATAAATAGTAATAGATTTTATCTTTAATCTTTCATAAAATAAAGAATTGATAATATAGTACTTCTTTATAAAATAATAGATTAATGATATAGAGTACTAATTTTAAAATGCTAATTTTTTATAAAATACTTTAATAAATAGTAAAGAGCAAAAAGCTAATATAAAAGATTTTAATATTATAAAATTTAATATTTCATTATATAATAATTAGTAATATAGAGAATTCTATCTTATATAACTTATATGTATTTTTAATAATATTAATAAATTATTAATTGAATAATAAAATATAAAAGAAATTTAAAAAAAATATTTAATTAATTAATTAAATATAATTTTTTTTAAATATTAAATTAAATTTTTTTTAAGATTTTAATTAAATTTATAAAGAAAATAAAAATTATTTTTAAAAAATAAACTTTAATATAAAATAAAAATATTATTTAATTATATAAATTTATAATATTGAATTTTAATATTATTTTATTTTTTAAATATTTTATTTATTCAATATTTATTTTTATTTATTTTTTCTTTATATTATATTAAATTATTTTATTTAAATTAATAAAAATATTAAATAAAAATTAAAACTCTATAAGTTTCTTTCTATTAAAATTTATTAAATATTATATTATTTTAAAATAAAACTCTTTGATCATATAATTTAAATACTATTTATTAATTAAATTAGTAAAATAAATAAATTTTAATTTTAACTAAATAAATATCATAGTTTTTGATTAAATATATCTTAAATAAAAAATAATAATAATATAATAGTAGTTATTTTTTAATTATTTATTTAAATTTATCTACTTATTTATTTTATATTATAATTTTTAGTTGAGTATTCTTATTGAAGTTGTTCAATTAGATAAATAAAAAAGTTTATATTAATTTTAGTTTAAGCTATAATAAATAATAATAAAATAAAGAAAAAATAAAGAAAAAAAATTAATTAAAATTATAATTAATAAAAAGTAAAATTTTATATAAAAATAAATTAAAAGAAATTATAATAACTATAAAAATTTATAATAAAATTTATATTAAAAATAATATAATAAAAAAAATAATATATGAATAAATATATAAAATTAAAAAAGTTAATAAAGAACTTTAAATATAATATATATATATATATATAAAAGTAAAATAATATAAAATAAAAAATATAAAAATAAATATAAAAAAAATAAAAAATTCGAAGAGATTTGACTACATTATAAGAAAACATAAAGAAAAAAAGATAGAGAATAAATCAAAATGAAGAAGAGAAAAAAAATTAAAAAGAATTAAACAATTATTATATAATGATTATGAGAAGATACAAGTAAAATGCATGCACTCAAATTAGTCATTCAAGCAATGTTCCCTTCATATCCTTTCTCTCAACCCTTTAACTCGTGATGAAGCAGGGATGCAAGGTTGTCTGGACTACTTTTTTCTCAAGGTTTCGCCATCCCTTACTTTTTATATCTCACAACTCATAGGCAACATATGAATAATCCGAATCCAACAAACATCCTCCTCGCCCTCTCCCCTCCCCCTCTCCTTTTCATAAAAAGAATCAAGCAAGCTGCCCCGGTCTCGGGAAAACAGATACTGTCTCCAACCTCTCCAAGCCGCCCATTGTCGGCTGCGGGCCGGCCTGCGGGCCGGCCTGCCAACCCTGACCCGTCTGCTGATATATAAATGCCCTCTGACAGAATGGGTTAGTGCTGACTGTCGGGTTCGGGAGGAGGGATGCTGCTGTGAGTCTCGTCGTGTTCGAGAATTGTAGTTGCGAGTCTGGTGCTGTCTGCGGTCGTGAGAAGGGGTTCGTTCCTGTTGGCTGGGGTTGGAGGGGTAGGAGTTGTTGTTCTTGTTGTGATGGTAATTGTGGCAATGGCTGTGTGGGTGGTTGCGAGGAGAAGGGACTTGGGGAACCCGTTGGCGAATTGTGGGCTTTGAGTTGTCATGCGCTTGGCGAAGGGGTTGGTGGATTGGCGCTTTAGAAGAGAGGCAGTGTCCGTGGTTGTGGGACTGGTGTTTTCTGGAGTGGATGGGGGGAGCATGGATTGGCGGAAAGGGTTGTTGGGGCGGCTTCCTCCAGCGGGGCTGCCGGTCAGCATGGTTTGCTGGAAGGAGGGAACACTCTTTTGTGGGATGCTGGAGAGAATTGTTTGGAAGGTGTGCTGCTGTGGCTGGGGGGCATAACCGCCAAATCCGGAGCCAGAGTGGTTTGGCTGGAGTGATTGGAGAGATTGTGATTGCTGCTGCGGCTGGTTTTGGCCGAAAGGGTTGGAATTTGATTGTTCAAATTGACCGACAAAGCCCGTCTGTTGTTGACCAAAGTCTGATGCTGGAGTGAAATGCTGCTGCGGCTGCTGTTGGAAGTTGTTTTGCTGTACGTTGAAGCCGATCGGCTGTGGTTGGAAGCCCGTTTGTTGGAATTGCTGTTGTTGCTTGAACTGCAAGTTTTGGGGGTTAAACTGTTGATGGGGACTTTGTTGAGGCATGGACAACTGCTGCTGCTGCGGCTGAGGCTCGTCATCGAAGAAATCAAGAAGATTTGGACCTGAGATCTTAACCTCTAACTTCGGAGTTGCTGATTGTGGAACTGCTGGTTGAACAGTGGGTTTGGGTTTCTGTGGCGCTGATACTGATCTGCTTCTCACAAGGCCCTTTTCCTTTTCGACGCTGCTACTTCCAAACTTTTGGGAGCGATATTCACGTCGTCGCTGGTCAAAGTCGGGATCATTAAGGTCATCTTCGAGAAGTTTGGACAAATCGGTCGATGCATGTTTCAAATTCGGTATTTCCAGGCGTGTTGCGCTTTCGTACTGACGCGCGATACGCAAGAATCTCACGACCTCCTCTGTCTGAGCGCTGAACCGTTTGTATATCTTTAAGGCACGTTCGCTATCTGGTCGTGACATTTCAAAATAGTGCTCTATTATGTAGAACGTCATACCGTTTAGCTACTTTCAAGAAATACATAGCCTAAGCATATGAACATGCGCATAACGTACCTAGAACATTAATAGTTCCCTCATTCATCACAGAATAAAGTGTTAATAGATCCAATGTCAGCAATCGGAATGCCGTTAAACTGATTTCATTCTCCGGCTCGTCCATTAAGATCTGTGAGAGGGGAAAAGTCAGAATCGGTCTGGTATCCCAAAAACATAGATAAGCGTATTCCTGGTCAGCATTGTACATACATCACATTTTAACAGAGCATGAATTTGCTTCTGCACAATTTCCGTTTCCCTCAATAGACCTTTATTAATGGCAAGTCGTTTTAGCCGTCCCTGTCCGCCCCGCACGAAATCCGTTTTCGTTTCCGCGTAGGCATTTGCCCGAGCAACGAGATACTCGGAGTATCTCCAAATATTGGCTCCTTGCGCCTGGACTATATCTCGCCGTCAGTACAACCTCTCTCTCTTCCCTTTTCCTCTCCTTTGACGATATGTGTATTCCATACGCACACTCGGATATACTAGTGATGGCCAATCTCTTTGGATTCTGAGAAAGGTATTTCAACGCGGCACCGGCCGAACCTTCGCGGATCATCATGTGAACAACGATAAGGGCCTTGTACACGATGGTCCATGTTGAATCCCGTATGCGAAACTGGAGGGTTCGAAAGATCTCAGCAACGCCGGCCTCGTTGTAGGTTGCGGTAAGGATGTGTTCGATATATTTGGACTTTGGGGCGGCATTCTGTATTGTTGCACAAGGCCGATTGGGATCAGTTTTGATGCTGGCTTGGGTGAGGCAGAGAATATTCTTGAGAGAGAGAGATACTGACTTTAGTCTTTGTTGCCCCCTTGACAGATTTCTCGAAACTTGCGCCAGGCATAGCTGGCTATGTTCGGGGTATTTGGGAGGTGTGGGATTAGTTAGGGACTTATCGAGGGGCTACGCAAGTTGGTTGACAGGTTAGGGGTTGTGGCAAGATAAGTGATATTGATCGAGAGAAAGAGGGAGGAGAAGAATTGATATCTCTATATCCCTATCTGAGCTGAAGTATTTTTGAGATCGGTAGAATTTTCAAGAAACTGGGTAGCGCATCGGAGGGATCATGACGACGGCGTTATTGGAGTGGCTGGGCGGTCAAAGGGGTCCGGACTTCTTGGAGAGGTTCGGTCGGAACAGCTGGTATGTGGGGCGGAGAACTTTGAAGAGGATGGGTTAGGATTTGAAACGGGGGGTCATAGAAACAGCAGATATATTCCAATTTGATATAGGAAGAGAAGAAAAAGATGGGCGTTTCTTAATAGTGGGATAAGGGGATACCTGTGGTGGATAGTGGATAGGGATAGTTGGATGGATAGTGGACAGTTGGAATTTGAAGACGTTATGTTAGGTGGTTTGTTTTACGGTAGCTAAATGCCCGTGTGGGTCATATCGGGACGACTTCGCCTGAGGCAGCGATATTCAATACATAAACCCAACAGAAGATCTTTATACTGTATGAGCACAACAGCACCGCTTAAGCTCCTGCCTGTTACTTTTGCGATTTCTGGATAATAGCTTTTGAAGCCCGTTCCAAAAACACTTGGTTCATTTTACCAAATATCACAGAGTTCTGTCTCACTAATTCGATTTGGGACCAAGAACTCTTGAATTGATCCCGCCTCTCACGATAAAGCTATCGAACGACATGTCCTCGTATAACAAATAGAGGTCAATTAAGCAGGAAGAGCGGAATACGAACATCAGTGAAAAGAGAGGGTAAGGAATGAAATCAACTATTTATCCAAACATCTCAAAATATTACCTATTAGAGGATGGGAAGGTCGACAACGAGTGGACCAGAGAAATATTAATAATCAATAACATATCATCAGTTTCAACAAATAGAAAGCCGATCAGATAATTCGACTTCATGTAGCTAATAAATACGGATACAGCACAAAAGAACCAAACTCATACAACGCAAATAATAATAATACCAGAAGAAACAAGTAAGAACAGAATGGGCGAAAGGGAAGGCAGAGGAAAAAAGAAACAGCTACATCCACCCAATGCCGCCAACCCATCTCTTCTCCATGTCTAGCGGTACTGAGCTGAAATCCTCGATAACAGCACAATCGACGTCCATAGCCACGTCCACATCCATGCCTTCAGAAGACATGATACCAGAGTATACCGAGTGGGAGAGAGCAGGTGGCGGATCCACCTCTGTAGAAACAGTAATGGCAGTACTGGCAGCCCATTGCTGCGTTTGGGTCCTTGATATATCAATTGGACATGGCTGTACAAGGGGCACCGAACTCCCTCGCTGATGGCTTTGTTGAACCTGGGAGACACGAAGTGGCTGGAAGAACTTCTGCAGCGTTTGCTGGTTTGGATCTGGCATTGTGAACGTGGGTGATGGTTCTTCGGAACTGTCACAAGTGTCCTCCGCTGCGACTGGGGAGGATATGGAATTCTGCAATTTTTTCTGAGCAGAAAAGAGCCATTTGATGGTTTTATCTGCAGGTTTGGATTAGTTTGGCCGGTCAATGTACTGCACCCCAACTCCAACAACTCCAATGCTCCTGATATGGGTACCCATTCTGCATACCGTATATCAACTGGTCGTTTGGCCGGTCGTTGCGGAATCGCTTTCGCGTTCTGCTGTGCAGGTGTCGTGGTTGCTCGTCGATAGTGACGGTACCCAGGAAGGGGATTGTAGAGGTGGGATTGTAGTAGGTTGAGTAGCTCCCGGGGGAGGTGATGGTGGTGAAGGACGCCTTTCGCTTGAGAGACATAGTAATGAAATGGAGTGAAGGAAGTCAGGGGAGGATAGAATATAGTAAGTATAACAACAATCGAGGACGATTATTCTAGAATATATATGTTATTATCTATATATACAGGGTCCTCAACTATGAGGGGATACTTAATGGAGTGACGGACAAGTTCTGGAGGTACAAAAGGAAACCGAAGACAAAGACGCGGGTACCTTTACACTTGCCAAACGCGAGGGAATACCTAATACACGTAATACGCCATTATAACATACAATACCGTTCAATACCACTGCAAAGCCCAGTTTCTCGTATTAAAAACGTACTGATTGGATGAGATGCGTAATTACGGTATGCAAATCATCCACTGATACAACGCTAGGCCGCATTAGATTTAAGTGTTCTAGCGGCAAGTAAAAGCAGCAATTCAAAAAACCTTCAAAATCAACTAAGCTAGCCGGTCTATATTTCGACCAGACCCTTTTTCAACCACTCTATTCAAAGTAACCACCCTTCCTATTTGGGTAAATATTTAACTACAAATTCAATCTAATTGTCATTCAAACATGCAGGCTTCCAGACCTGCTGCTAAAGCTGCTGCTGCTGCTTTTTTAGCCTCAATTTCTAACTTCTGTAGTTGTTTTCTAGTCTCTAAAGTAGCAGCTTTCTCTTGTGCCTTTTTAATTCTTTCTATATTGATAATTTAAGTATTTAGATCAACTTCCATCTTCTTTTTGATTTCTGACTGCTGTAGAGTCTCTAGTTGATTAGAGAGTTTAAAAGTTGTAGACTGACTAGCAGCTAATACACCATTCAACTCATCAATCATCTTACTAGCTTTGTAAAGAAAAACTTACTGCTTTTTTGTAAGAATTCTCTTCTTATTCAACTGCTGCAAAGCCTTATATATATATGTCTAAAATCTCAGAGTTGTAAGCAAGAAATCTTGCAGTTCAGAAGATAAAAAGAGTGTAGATGTCATCAGTCAAGAGTTAGATTAACTCTGATCTTAAATCTAAAAAAAATCTAATTTCTTGAGAGAATTAAATGACACTAGACCAGCTGCTTTCTACTATTCATATATATTATAAAATTCTAAGGCCTTTGAATATACTTGTTTATAGACTTGTATGAATCTTCTTTACTTTACAGAAGCTGCATCATTTAGATAGCTTAAGACAATAATCTCAGCTCTATAGTAGCTCTTCATGAATGAAAACACTTCAAGATTAAATAGCTGAAGAACATGAGATATATGAGCAGATAGAAATACTAAATGAATTAAATATATATAACATTTTCATAAAAACTCAATAGTGATATAATATAAAAGGTTGAACTCCTAGATTCGCTCTGACTGGCTGACTCAGCCTAGTCATCATTTGCACATGTGCATGTGATCATGCTACGTGAGCTCACTTAAGCTTGAGTTCTCATCTCATTCTTTTCTTCTCTTTCTCAAGCAATTTGTTCTTGTTATATAGAAGAACTAGTCTCTAGTTCTTAGAGCTTAACTCTTTACATTATGAATTGCTTGACTTCTTTCATTGATAGACTACTGAGAGTCTTAATTCTATATCACAAAGCTCAGCAAACATGCTGATATATGATAGATTATTGAGAGTCTTAAATCCTATAACATGAAGTCCAGTAATAGCACTGGTATATAAATAGACTGGGTTAGCAATTGTGCTAATGAACAAACAAGCAACATTGAAAACATCTAGATGAATGAGATAAAGCAGCAGACTTGTACAATAAATACACAAATGAATCAACATGAAGTAATGAGTAGAGACATTCTCAGCAGCTTTGAACAACAATGAATGATCTTTCTTCAACAGCAGAAACAGATACAGTGTGAGAACAGGAATTTAATAGCAGCCCAGCAAGCTAAAATAGCTAATTTACATCAAGTTTTGAACACTCTGACATCAACTCTCTCTCAATTGAACTCACAATCACTAATTGCAGTCAGAAGATCAAAGATCAAGCTACTGAACTGTGAGAAGTATGATGATTCTAATCTGAAGTACTACTCTCAAAGAGAGCTAAAGCTTCAATCAAAGCTTAAAATCAATAAAAAAGCTTTAGATAATAATGAGAAATATGCTTGATATATATACTCAAGACTGAAAGAAATGACAGCAGCTCAAGTTTATCTCTGAGTTGAGAATAATAAAAATAAGATTAACTTTATGATAGAGAGCTTATTGGAGCAGACACACATGCTCTTTAGTGATTCTGCATAACAGAAAAAAATTATGCAAAAGCTCAACAATCTATGACAGAGTAGAAGAGCTCTCTTTAACTTTCTGTCTGAATTTAATCAGCTACTGCTGGAAGCTGGTGGTCATGAATAGATTGATCATATTAAAAAGAGATATTTAAAATCCACTTTAAGCATGAAGTTGAGAAAAGGCATAGTGAGTATAAGAGAACTGTCTCTCTATGAAAATTACTGAAAGAAGCTTATATTATTTGATTATCAACTCTCTGAGCTTGAGACTTTAAGACAGTGATATAAATATTGTGAGGACAGATCTTCTTCAGATCATATAACATCTAATCCACACTCTCTACTTTGTCATACTGTCTTCAATTGATGAAATCAGTCTTAAGCTTCTGCTGATGATCTGGTGAATCTCTCTTTTCATACTGTGACCTCAAGTGCCTGTTACATCAAATTGATAAATCAGATAGAGGTTAATCAAAGAAGAAAGCAAGGTGTGTGTCTGAGATGCAAAGTCAGAAATCATATAATTAAGAGCTGCTCATTCAAATCTCTCAGATACTCTGCCACTCTCATGATAGCTAAGATGATCTCTGAGCTGGTATTGAATGATGATGATGTGAATATAAGTGAGGATTTGGGAAAAGAGTAGTTTCAATCAAAAAATACTGAAAGAAGTAAAATAAAAAGCTTATGAAAAAGCAATGAAGAAGATTTAAATCTAAGATGATATTCAAACCCTTCAATGCTAATGCTCTAATAGATAATACCTTTTCAACTAAAGCAATGATAGACAGTAGATGTAATGTCTATGATCTTATTTCTTAATTCTACATTAACAAGCATAAGCTTCTGTGCATTAAAATTCCCTCTATTAAAATGACCAGCTTTGGAGACTTCATGGAACTCTCTATGAGCATAGTAACTAGCATTTGAATTGATATAGACAGTCACATAACTGAACAAGCCTTTCTCTATATAATGAATAGGTTACATAGTCACAACATATATCTAGACAACCCCTGGCTGGTCCAGCAAAAGATGACTGTGATCCCTTATCAAAAAATTATAAAATTTGAAGAGAGTGGCATAAAGATAGAGCCTAGTTCAAATGCAAAAGCTGATGTGATTTCCATCTTTGCTGTAGGCTTTTCTAGGCTTGTGTGCACTTGAGAGAAGTGAAACATCAAGATCTTCACTGTCAGTTTGACTGACATTCAAAAGACTCTAGAAGTGAAATTAAAGATTGACTCTAGAGAAAAGCTGTCTGAACATTATCATGAGTTTTTGAACATATTTGATAAGGAAGTCATCAACACTCTACCTCCACTTCATGGTCTAGGTAAAGATCATGGGATTGAACTGATTAAAAAGGCTGATGATAGTGCAGAACAACCCCCTTGAGACCTACTATATAATATATCTTGAGAGGAACTACTGACTTTGTGAAAGACTCTTACAGATTATCTAAATAAGAGTTTTATTACAATGAGCAACTTCTCCACAGCCACCTCTGTACTATTCATGAAGAAGTCTGAAAGTGAGCTAAGATTTTGTGTGAACTATTGAGCTCTTAATAAAATCATCTGAAAGAATTAATATTCTCTATCATTAATCAGAGAGACTCTACAGTGAATTAGACAGACTAAATGATTCACTAAACTGGATATTATTACAGCTTTTTACAAGATTCAAATCACAGAAGGTGATGAGTGAATGACAGTCTTTAGAACCAGATACATACTATTTAAATAGCTGGTTACACTCTTTGATTTGACCAATGCTCTGAGCATATTTCAAAAATATATCAACTGAGTATTACATGAATATCTAGATGAGTTCTGCTCAGTCTATTTAGATGACATCTTGATATTTTCCTCAAGAAGCTTACAGAAGCATTGTTAGCATATATAAAAGATGCTTCTGCATCTACAGAAAGCAGGTCTGCAGGCAGACATCAGAAAGAGTGAGTTCAAGATGAACAGCATGAAATATCTTGAATTTATCATTGAAGCAGATAAGGGTATACAAATAAATCTGAAGAAGATTAAAGCTATTTTGAAATGAGCAGCACCTACTACTTTTAAAGATATATGAGGATTTTTAGACTTTGTCAATTTCTATAGATGATTTATCAGAGATTTATCAAAGATCATGACCTCACTGATGATTCTTACATATAGGAATATTTTTTTTGTGGATGAGCAAGACTGAGAAAGCTTTTAAATGTCTAAAATCAATGTTTATCTCTGCTCCAATCTTGCTTCAATTCAACTCTGATCATGAGACTATATTGAAAATGAACTTCTCAAATTATGCTTCAGAAGAAGTGCTGCTATAATATGATGAGCAGAGCATTCTATGCTCATATATCTTTTTCTCTTGCAAGTATTCACCTGTGAAATGCAACTATGAGATTTATGATAAGAAGTTATTAGTGATAATTGAGTGTTTAAAGAAATAAAATACTGAGCTACAAAGCATAAAGAAATTTAAAATCCTCACAGATTATAAGAATCTAGAATACTTCATAACTACATACAGACTAAATGAAAGACAGCTACATTGAATAGATATTCTCTATCAATTCAACTTCAGAATTAATTACTGGTCAGAGAAGTTGAACATTAGATCAGACACTCTATCATGAAGAGAGCAGAACATGTTACAGAGTGCTGATGATGAGAAGATCAAGCAGAGGCAAGTTCAGCTACTTAAGTTTAACATACTGACATCTGAAATGGAATCAAGAGTGACTACTGCCAGTGTGAAATCCAAGATGTCTCTT